GCACCACCAGCGTGAGCGCGCGCGCCTCCATCCCGCCGGGGTAAGACGGGGCCCAGGGGGAGGGGGCCTCTGTGTCGTCCGCAGGCAAGGACGAAGCCCGGGGTGGTTGGCCACTAGGGCAGGAGCAAAGATTGCAATAATATTAATGACGGTAAGTAATATCCAGCATCCACTAAATGTTCATTTTGTGCCAAGCATCAACTAAGCACCTTTACATGTTCCCGCGCATCTATCTCCATGCATAAGGACCCTATGAGGTAGGTACCGTCATCACTTCCTGTTCACAGACAGGAACTAACTCCCCCAAGATCAGACAATTCACAAGTGATGGGGCCATAATAGCAACATCAGCAATGGTGCGTGTTCCATGTTTATTATTTGCTAAATTCGTTATATGTATCACCTCGTTTATTCCGCCAAACGGTTCTACCATGTGCATATTCCAGATGGGGAAGCCGAGGCTGGGAGAGCTATGGTGCCTTCTCAGGGTCACCGGGGAAGGGTAGACCTTGGAGTCCAGACCTGTCCGATTCCAAAGTCTGTGCTGTGTTGTCTTAGGATTTTTAGAGGGCTTCAGAGTCAAGCTGTCCTTGTCCCAGTCCATGCCCACCTCACATGGTGGCTCGAGCAAGTATCAGCTGCTTGTCCAAAGTATTTCCCCATAGGCTGCACCTGAAATACCACAGTTACTCTGGGTTAATACTATGGTTTGCACACTGGGCTCCAGGGACTCCTGGGGTGACCTGGAATCGTGGGGGTGGGGGAAAGCCAGGCAAACAAGAGTCTGCCTCTCTGCTCTTGTTTTAACGAGAGCAGCCCTTTTTGGAAACACTTTTATGAACTGGCTTTCCCAGCATGATTTTATTAAGGACGGGCACCCAGCTTGTATCAAGTTTGCAAATTATTGGGTTAAGGTGTCCCAGGCCCCAGGATAGGGACCCGGCGAGCTGCTGTTGGGTGCCCACCCTGGACCCCAGATTCATTCCATTTGAGCAAAGAACCAAGGCTTGAGGGGTGGCAATGAGAGGAAAAATCAAAGACCTTGAACTTGGGAAAGACGAGGGGGATGTGGACTGTGGGCCACAAGAGGAAGAGAGGGCACCCAAAGCCAACTGTGCTTCAGTCACCATGGCATGGCCCGGGGAATTGATAATCATGGCCCGAGATCACCAAAGCTCAAAGCTCAGATCTGGATGTGATCTTTGGGGTCACCGCATCCAGGTCACCCCTTTTATTATGGGCAAACAAGGCCTGGGAAAAGGAAAGGTCAGGACCCTGAACTAGGTGGCCCTATTCACCCTTTGTCCCTTTGGGAGTCTGACTTCCTGGGTTCAAATGCCCTCTTGGCCACTTCTTTTTTTTTTTTTTTTTTTTTGAGATACAGTTTCACTCTGTTGCCCAGGCTGGAGTGCAGTGGCATAATCTCTGCGGTGCACAGTTTTAAAGAGGATGGTGGTAAATGAAGGAATGTCTGAATGCTTGAATACGGGAGTGGGCTGAAGATGGAGAATACATAAAGGTATCAATTAAAAAAAAAAAAGCATAAAGGGCCTAGGGGCAGTGGCTCACACCTGTAATCCCAGCACTTTGCAAGGCCAAGGTGGGTGGATCACCTGAGGTCAGGAGTTCGAGACCAGCCTGGCCAACATGGCAAAACCCCATCTCTACTAAAAATACAAAAATTAGCCCAGCAAGGTGGCGCATGCCTGTAGTCCCAGCTACTCAGGAGGCTGAGGCAGAAGAATCGCTTGAACCTGGGAGGTGGAGATTGTATTGAGCCTAGATTGTGCCACTGTGTTCCAGCCTGGGTGACAGAGCAATACTCTGTCTGAAAAAAAAAAAAAAAAGTGGGGCCGGGCATGGTGGCGCACACCTGTCATCCCAGCACTTTGAGAGGCCAAGGCGGGAGGATCGCTTGAGCCCAAGAGTTCAAGACTTAGCCTGGGCAACATAAGGAGACCCTCGTCTCTAAAAAAATAAAATAAAATAAAATAAAATAAAATAAAATAAAATACAATAAAATACAAAAGGATGACTGCAGGCAGGAATGAATGACCTAACAAAAGAATCATTGAATGAATGAATCATTGAATAAAGGAATATATGAATATGTGAACTAGGGCGTGGATAAATGAATGAACTAATGCAAGAATTGTTGAATGACTAAATGAACTAGTGCTTGAATTAATGAACGAAGGCATGAACAGATTGGTGAATGAATCATTGAATGAGTGAGCGAACTATAAGGAAGGAGAGGACTGCATGGGGCCTCTGTGCATAGCCTTGGTCTCTGTCTATGCCTGCCCCACCTTATCTTACTGTGGTCTGAAGAACCCCCAAGCCCCCTTTGCCCTCCCTCCCACCATCCAGGGCCTGTGATAAACCCCCACTTCAGTGTCTGTCTTGGCCCTGGAGAGATGGAGGGTGGGGGAGCCCTCCACACCTTGCTGGTTTCCTACCTCAGGCTATCTTGGCACCCCCACCCCATTTGGTGGCTTTCCCACCCCTGTCCCTAATCTATTGACCACGCGCGCCTGCCCACCTCTCGCCCCAGTGCTATGTGCTGAACCCTTAGCCCCGGGCCCCCTCACCCTGGGTCCCGCCTGTCCTGACCCTCCAGCCTGTACTGAACCTCATGCCTGGGCCTTGACCTCCTTCCTCTCCATGCATGTATTGACCCTCTCCCCAACTCTGGATGGACCCGTTGGAGGCCTGTGCCGCCCACCCCTGCCTTGCTGTGGCCCGCCCTTCCAGCTGCGCAGACCAGCGCTCGGCGTCCCCACCCCTGACCGAGCCAAGCCCGCCCGCTGTGCTGACGCCCCCTCCTCATTTCGAGTACAGGCACCATGCGGCCCGTGCGGCGCAACTTCTACGACCCGTCGTCGGCGCCGGGCAAGGGCATCGTGTGGGAGTGGGAGAACGACGGCGGTGCATGGACGGCCTACGACATGGACATCTGCATCACCATCCAGAACGCCTACGAGAAGCAGCACCCGTGGCTCGACCTCTCGTCGCTGGGCTTCTGCTACCTCATCTACTTCAACAGCATGTCGCAGATGAACCGCCAGACGCGCCGGCGCCGCC